ATCTTTCACTGACCAGATAATTCATATAGTATTCTAAAAAAACACCTATTGAAAATTATAGGCTACCAAAAGCCCCAAATAATCATTTTCACTGCAAAATTTGGACATGAAGCCATGATTCAATCAAGTCAAGTCTATAAAAGACGACAGTTCCAGGCCCAACATCAGTATATATCACAAGAAACTCGTCGAAGAAGCTACAAATTCATATATTAAACCAAAATTGACACAAATTTGAGCATGATAAGCTGAAGAGACACCAAAAACATCCTAAAATACATAGAAGAAACGAGTTACCTTGGCAATTCTTTTGGTGCTTCTGCGCCTCATCATATGCTGCCATCCAGCCATCAATGAAACCCCAAAGATAACCCCCATAAAGATCCCAGACAGCAACCCCATTTTCGCGGAGTTCTTAAACCCCAAGAACAGAACCACACAAAGGGAGACAAACAATCAGATCGAAGAACAGAACCACACAAATTGAAGAAGAAAACGAAACCCCTAGAACAAAAAAGTACCAGAAAATAGGAAAGGGAAGAAGAAGAAGAAGAAGAAGCAGAAATGGGAGATGGGTCACTGTGCTTCGAGCGATTGAGTGAAGACAAAGAGAAGCAGATTCGTGAGCGAAAGGAATTGGGTCACTCTCGCACCGGTTTCAAAAGGGATAATAATTAAATCCTTCGCCCACCCCTCTCTCTCTCTCTCTCTCTCTCTCTCTCTCTCTAGAAACGTAAAGGTTCTTTGTTTTGATGGGTTTTCTGAAACGGTTGATTTGTTTCTTCAAATGGGTCGATGATGTTTAAGAGAGAGTGGACTTCGGTAGCCATGGGATTTGATGAACAGGGGAAAATGGTAGGACACACACCAAAATCTTCACCCTTAGGTCTCACATTCTACTTTTTAGGCATTTAAGTCAAATTTAATTCAAATTTAATTCAAATTCAATTCAAATTCCCGTGTTCATCTTTCAATCCAATTTCGCAAAAACAAACAAAAAGTAGGCAAAAAAAATCTTAGATCTTCCCTTCTTCTTCCTTCTCTCTCAATAATTCTTTTCCATCTTGTTTCTAAATCAATGCCTTAAATGGTAGGGGAAATTTGTTCTTTCCTTTTTTGAATCATAATACTATGAAAGATTTAATCATGATTTTATAAAACTTTTAAAGCTCCCACCCTTTGTACCCAAAAGGTGATACTTTTCTTGCTAGCTTCTTATATTAGTTCGGTTTCTCGTTAGAGTTACAAAGTTTTAAGTTTGTATTCTTTAATTCTTACGAATAGGGAGAGGAAGCCCACCTCAAAAGAAAGAAGGGTAGTCCCGACCCAAACAATGCCCAAAGACTCTCGTGTCTCTCTTGGTTGGATTAATCCAATCAGCGATTTCCGACAAGCTTATCTTCATTTTTCGAGTAAGAAACGGAACTACAATCAAGGTAAATATCTAATAACCAAACAATAGGGACAAAAAATTTCTCAATTCCAATCGAGGAATGGACATTTCCAGAGACTAGTCCACTTCCCATTAGTGGACGAGGAGAAATCACCATTATTATAGGGGTATGGGATTCAAGACAAAGAAAAATGTGGGGAGAAAATATCTAATATATAAACAAGTTTGTTGACACCTTAGCATCATTTGCTTTTATTGATTGTATTTGGTATTATTAATCTAGCTTGATCACCCGTAGCGTACTAAGTTGAGTCTAATCCTGAAATTGGTTGGATCATAAATAAATGGTTCCTCAAAGAATTAATAGAACTTACGGTGAATGATATAATTACAAGGGTAAAATAGACCTTTGACCCGTTGTAATTACGAATTATTTGTGAAAAATTGACTTCCTTGTAATAATTATATTCATCCACACAACTTATAATACAATATTTAAGAGTGCGACTATAAATGTATAATAGATCCTTATAGTTAATGAATAAGAGAGAAAAACTTTTTTTTTTTTAATTTGAAATCTTACCGATTAAAATAATTAATATATTAGATACATGGAATAAAAATATATTTTAAATTAAAAAAAATCCATATAAATGTAAAATTTTGGACGGAGTCAAAAGATACACAAAATGAAAAATTCTCTAGGGATTTGTTTCAAAAGTCTAGAATCAGAAGTTTTATTTCTGTAGAGTTATTCATGGCACGGAAGTTCTTGGGAAGGAAGTTTCAGAGTACAATAAAGAGATTAGCGGTCAACAATTACTTTAAAGGAAGATCTTGTGGATTTAGTTTCATAGGGTTGGAATGTAACAAAGAAATTTGCTAACAACAATTACTATAAAGATACTTTTCGTACTTGCTAGCTTGGTGTACTTTAATTCTTAATAAAATCGAACTAAGATTCAATGTTTACGATGTGCAAGTGAAAATTTCTTTCTTTTCATGCACCATAATTGTTAATGGTTAACCATGTAGCATCCTAATGGTTAATTATTAATCTTATTGTGGGGTTGCATCTTAATCGTTAATTGCTAATGGTATCGTGAAGTTGTGTCTTTAACTTTATATGTGTTTAATTGAAATAACCTAAATAACTTAAAACTAAATATTGAGATAGACTTAACAAAATAGGGGCATACACGGGTTGGATTGGGTTGAGTTGAAAAAAAAAACTTTTGGATTGACCCAAAATTTCAAGTTAGTTGGGTTGGTGACTTGAGCAACCTAAATAGAGTTCCGTCACCCACCCAACCTCTATTTTGGATTGGGTAGTCAGGTTGACCCAACAAAAGAAATATAAACCCGTAAACCGACCTGAAATTTTTATTTTCCAAAAAATTAACCCAAACCAAACCGAAAAAAAATCTAACCCAACCCAACCTTTATAGTTTGGGTTGGTCAAACTATCGGGTCATATGAACACCCTCAAAAGAAAATGCATTATTCATTAAAACACTTCAATAAGATCTTGCTTATTGAGGCCATATTTGAATGCATTTGTTAAGTACTTATCCCTATCCTCAATATGGGTCCTTTTAACCTTATTCTCTGAGCTGTGAACAACCATGGCTGGACTACTTCATCTGTGCTATATGAGTTGATGTTGTTATCCCACCCTATATTGGTTATGATCTCTCTAACATATTTGGACAAAACTATGTCACGCCTCATATTCTTACTTAATCTCAACTTCTTTAAAATACTTCGAAATGTTTTAACATGAACGGCATAAATTAAATTATACAGTTCAGATGTGCATGTCCTTCGAGTTTTGCTTTCATGTGATCTCATGAAACTAGAGTTCACTTTTCCAAAGTCATAACCGCCGATTATTGTAACGATCTAACCCAAAATTTGGATCAAGATTCAGAATCCAGATTCGACATCTGATGATCATAACATTTTCCTGTCACATGATTACGTTACTTACTTTTTGCTTTTTAGAGTGAAAACAATCCTTATAGACCAATACAAGTCTTTCTAGCATATTTTGTTCACTCACATGCATCCTAAGGAGGTCACCTAAAGTAGAATTGGTCAAAGCAAAACATACTTGACCATGAAGTTCCTATGATTGAGCTACTAAAAAAAGAAAATGCACCTTGTTGGTATAGATAGTAACTTTCATTTCTTGTATGCCTGTGAGATCCCATATCAGGTTGAGACGAGAACAAATCATTTTTTTTATAAAGGGGTGAAAATCTCTCCCTACCAGACGTGTTTTAAAAATTTTGAAGGGAAGCCTAAAAGGAAGAGCCCAAAGAAGACAATATGTGCTAGTAGTGGTCTCGGACTGCTTCTAATATTTTAGATCTTATCTTCTTTTACAATACGACACTGTATGATCTATGCGTACGAGTTAGTCTATTGGAACTCAAAGTAAATGCAGATTTAGCAGCATGGATGATAATCACAATCACACACATTTTTGTTTATTTCACAATAGAGCAAAAACAATTTAAGCAACCAAATATCAGAAGGGAAGCTGTGGGACCTGAGATCCCAAGCTCTCAAGAACTTCTTCACATATCCTCTCAAGGGAAGCTATGTTGAAGTGAGTTTCCGTATACTTCGATTACTTTTCAAGACATGATCATTGAACTTACTATATCTCTTTTTTAAGAGTCAATCATTATTTGGGATAACCAGTTAAATTGTATTCACGTTGATACGCAGAAAAACGTTATTAGAACAGAATTTCCTTGGAATACCTGGAAAAACAACCCTAGTTAACTAGAACTAAGAGGCAGCTATTCTCATTTTGTGTTCCTTTGTATAAGACACTTCTAAGTAATGTGTCAGGTTCTTTAATGATGTGGGGCTATTTGATACCTTTCAGAGTACTTTTTTTTGGTCTCATTTCCTACTTGATCTATCCTATGTTGAATGGTATGTTGTAACTATAGATCTATATCCGTAGTTACTAAAAATATATACAAGTAGGTAAACAAAATGGTCGATAGTATAAACTTTTCTCTTTCAAAAGTCAGATCAAACATCTTGGTCAAGATTACTAGTTCTTGCCTTTCCTTCTTTATTGACTAAAATATTAGTTTGAACATAACTCAATAGATAAACTACTCATTACCATCTCAATCGTCAACTCAATCTATATCCTGCAATTGTTGAACTAAAAAAGGAAGTGAAATATTCAAGGACAATAGATTTCTTTTCGAATTGAAACACGACTAACATTGTCAATCCTAATTATAAGTGAGTGGGAGGATTCTTTTTTTTATCACAAAATCATCATAAACCTAAACAAACCATTTCTTTTCCATCTTACAATATTTGGTTGCTGAAATAGTCTTAAAAATGTAAATCCTAATGGCTACTAAGTCAAAGCCATGATAATCTATTGGTTCTTATAGCAAAAATAATAATAGGCAAAGTGTAGCTATTGGAGATTAGAGGAGTTCTTCATTTATTAAAATAAATTCAATCTCTTTAATATATCAAAGGCCTCTAATGATTCAAAAATCAATCACGGCAATAAAATTACAAAACTACGACATAAAGGACAAAAAAGGAAACGCGTGATCTCTAAATCTGACCTCGTTAGTCTCAGAGCAGCAGCAGCAGCAGCGGCGGCACCACCGCGGTGAAGAAGAAATATCGGCGCAAGTTAGCGGCGGTTTTGAATCCTCTGTTGTCCTTCGTCTCAGGAATCATTAACGGAGGCGTTTGAGCCGAATCGGAATCCGGCGGCGTCGCGTACGGAGGCGGAGGTGGCTGATTCAGGCTTGGCGGCAAGCCAAGACCGGTATTGACCTGGATCTCGAAGGCCATACCTCGTTGGCACTGAACTCCATCATCCGCGTCGGAGAAGAAGTAGTTCGAGCCGCTGATGATCAGCGCCACGGGAATGATCAATGGCTTGTTGAAGTCGGAATCACCGCCGTTGTATTGGAACGTGTCGTTGTCCGAGGCGTCGTCGATGGAGCAGCTCTTGAATGTCGTCAAGTTGGAGGTCTGGATCACGGTCTGATTTGTATTCGTTCTGAAAACTGAAATTAACAAATTAAAAAAATGGCGATGAACTTCTGTGAGTTAATTGATTGATGAGATAGAACAACAACTGTAATCAGATTTTCGATTTCAGATTGCACAATAGAAACCTAGATGATTTCGAGCGCAAATCTCAAACAATAAAAAGAAGTTAGCAGAAATTCCATTGGCTAGATGATCAAATCAACCAAAAACTCATTGTCAATTTCCTGGATCGTGAAATAACAATGTTCGATTCCTAAGAAATTCATGAATCGAGATGCCGATCATAACTCAACACTTGCGCAAATTTCTTCTGATAGCTATCTATAAATCCTAACTTCTCTGCAATTTCTCAAGAAACAAACAACAACGAAGCGGAGGTTTCAGAGAGAAATAATCAATCAATAACGAGCAGAATCGAAAGGAGGAGAAGACATTGAGCTTACTGAGGAAGTCTCCGAGATTGAAAGTCTGAGACGCCGCCCAGGAGGAGTAATTAGTAGCGGAAATGTTCTTGGTGGCGTTGAAGAACCAACCTGCAGGGCCGCCGACCGTGTGATTAGTGTAAGCCATAGGAGGAGTTTGAGACACCACCGCCGAGATCAGAAAAGCGACGACCGCCGCGAACACTGCCGTCTCCGTCGCCATTGATTTCGGACTGTCAGAAGGCGAGAAATGGTATAGCTGTGATGAGAAAGTTCTCCGACTTGGAGTGCTTTTTATTTGACTCGAAAACAAATTGGTTTGAATCTCATTTTCCTTTGGTCAACTCTAAACTCTGTTTTATTTTTTAATTATAAATTATTATTACATTTTTATATTTAATAATTTTCATAAATAATTCTTATATGCTTGTAAAATTCCTGTTTATAATTTTTTTAAAATAACTAATAAAATCACTGGGTTTTTATTTGAAAAATGTGCCGTGAATTACCAATAGTTCTGATGTAAGGAGAAGAGCTTGTTAAAAAATTTAGTGGCGTACCTTTGGTTGTAGAAGTGTCGGGACGATTGACAAGAACTATGAGGAATTGTAATCGATTTTGAAAAATGTTCCAATTTTTCACGAGACTTTTGCTTCTATAAGGAAGCACTAGTTCAAATGTGGATAGTGTAACGAGGGAGGATATTGGAGCGAGGAACTTTGATATTGTCTCGGACCTTGTAACGAAAGGAAAATCTCAGGGTAAATAAGCTATTTTGATTATTCAAAGAATAAGATCACCAACTTCATCTACTCGCGCGTTTTAATTGTTCAGGGGATCGAAAATCATTCAAAATCGAATCATCTAGCCTACGACTTAGCTTGCAATAGGATAGTTTGACCTATGACTCTAATCGAACCCGAAAACATGGTAAAAAAATCAAAACCCTAATCATTTAAAATGTAAGTCATCTAACCAGTGATCATGATGGTACAATTAATTCATTCAATAACGAGTAATTGCCAGGTCATTCTAGGTTCATAGAATTTTACAACAACATTTTACTGATGCGGGTAAAATCATAGAATCACCTGGACTAATCCAAAGTAAAAATTTCTTACCTTAGTTCATTTAGCAATGAACAACATACCCCGCTCTAATTGGCTAAAGAAATGGGTGGTTGGTTGTGCAGCCACAAGCAACCACTCATCCAACTGCCCTCAACAGCCCAGCACTTCTTCCCTCAAAACTTTCCCAAATTTCCAATTTTGCCCTTAAGTTAATTCTCACCTTAACTTATTATTATTATTATTTATAGGATGGAATTTGGTTTATAATTTAACCATAGTTTGATCATTTTCCCTTTTTTTTAAATGTAAAAATAGTTTAAAATGTTGTTTTAAAATATTAAAGATTTTAATATTTTTAAATGGCAAAGACCATTGTAATGTATTTTGAACCGCAAGAAAGTTATATCCAAAATAAGATTAAGATTATTTATGCAATCATATTTTTAATGGTTATAATTATTGGATGATGGAAGTCCCACATCCGCTAATTTAGGGAATGATCATGGGTTTATAAGTGAGGAATACTAACTCCATTGGTGAGGTCTTTTGGAGAAACCCAAAGCAAAGCCATGAGAGCTTATGCTCAAAGTGGACAATATCATACCATTGTGGAGAGTCGTGTTCGTCTAACATGGTATCAGAGTCATGCCCTAAACTTAGTCGTGCCAATAGATTGGTCAATATCATACCATTGTGGAGAGTCGTGTTCGTCTAACATGGTATGGTATCAGAGCCATGCCCTAAACTTAGTCGTACCAATAGATTGGTAAATCCTCAAATATCGAACAAAGAACTCCAAAAGAAAAGGAGCCAAGCCTCCTCGAAGGCAGTCAAAAATGATTAAGACTCTAGAGGAGTCGAGGCTCGATTAAGGGGAGGTGCACTTTGTTCGAGGGGAGGTGTTGGATGATGGAAGTCCCACATCGGCTAATTTAGGGAAAGACCACAGGTTTATAAGTGAGGAATACTAATTTCTTTTAGGGAAATCCAAAGCAAAGTCTGTTAGGGAAACCCAAAGCAAAGTCATGAGAGCTTATGCACAATTCTAAGATATTTAAATTAATAAAAAAGCCATGAGAGCTTATGCTCAAAGTGGACAATATCATACCATTGTGGAGAGTCATGTTCGTCTAATAATAATAATAATAATATTTTTAGAAACTTTATTTTATTATTATAAGATATTTAAATTAATAAAAACTTTATGAGTTAAAATAGTTCGAATACAATAGTATACATATACTTATTTTATTTTTATTTAAATTTATAATTAACTATTTAATTATTTATTCTTCAACGGCTCTTAAAAATAATTTTTAACTATTTGGAATATAAAATTTTAATATATATATATATTCGAGTTGTACATCTCATAAAACGTGTGATGAATATTATTTTACTTTTTTAAAAGTGAAAAATTCTAATAAGGAATATGAACAACCCGATCCAATTTCAACCTTAATCACAGTTGGAATTTTGTAATGAGGTGTGTTTGCACCTTGAGTTTGAGTGAAGGGTTTAATTCTAAACACGAAAAAGAAAGAATTTTAGTGGTTTGATTCTAAATCGAATTAATCGAACCCTCGTGTTTTAATCTTGAACCTGGTTAAAAGAAATGATATAGGTTGTCCAAAAATTGTTTGGGAATGACTCTTAAATTTGGTTATAGCTCGTAATAATATCACAGTAAAAGATCTAATATGTCTATGAACTTTTCAATGATATATTTGAAACCGTTAAAAGTTAACCGATCAATTATATTTATAAAAAAAAAAAAAAATTATATAAATTAAGACCTTAAATTTTCAATTTTTATCGGGTAGCTTCATAAATTTTAAAAAATTATTAAATGGATTAAGATTCAAAAATTGAATAAAATTAAATTAAATGTATAGTCTAAATATACAAAAGAAAAGAAAGATAAAAATAAATTAAATTTTAATAACATATTTGAAAAGAAATAAAAACAAAACAAATTATAAATATTTCAAATATACGAAGAAGAAAAAATCCCATCGACAACGTTCATCTCAGTTTACCGTTAAAATTATGACCGTTGCAACAAAAAAACAAAAAGCATTTTAATTATTAATTATTACGCTAGTGGAAATTCTAGGGGCAGAATTGTAATTTCAGTAAAAGTAAGAGAAAGCAAGAAGCCATCGCTATGGCTTACGGCAAGCACATAAACCACTTTTGATATTTTTCATCTGTGTCCAAAAGCGTTCAGTCTCCTTTTTCCCACATTTCCCAAAATACCCCTAACCCTAGTTAACTAACTTAACCACTCTTTCTCTCTTTTATTTTACCCTCTCAACTCTCCACTACTTTCTAAACCCTCTCTTCATCTTCCTCCTCTGTTTCTGCTGCTCCCATGGCTACCTCCAAATCCCTCCTCCTCTTCCTAGCCCTCGTCGCCACCAGCGCGGCCATTGTTTCCGGTCATAACATCACTGACATTCTCAAGGACTTCCCTGAGTACAGCGATTTCAGCAGCTACTTACAGCAGACCAGACTAGCCGACGAGATCAACAGCCGTCAAACCATCACAGTCCTCGTTGTCTCTAATGGTGCTCTCTCCCCCGTCGTTGCTAAACATCCTCTCTCCGTCATCAAGAACTTCCTTAGCCTCCACATTGTCTTGGACTACTACGATCCGGCAAAACTCCACAAGATCTCCAACGGAACCACTCTTTCCACGACGCTTTACCAGACCACCGGTAACGCGCCTGGAAATCTAGGTTTCGTCAATATAACCGATCTCCAGGGCGGTAAGGTCAAATTCGGCTCTGCCGTTCCTGGATCTAAACTCGATTCGAGTTACACTAAGTCTGTGAAGCAGATTCCGTACAACATTTCGGTTATTGAGATTAGTGCGCCAATCATTGCTCCGGGGATTTTGACGGCTCAGGCTCCGTCGGCTTCCGATGTTAACATCACTGCTTTGCTCGAGAAAGCTGGATGTAAAACCTTCGCGTCGATGCTTGTTTCTAGTGGTGTGATTAAGACTTATGAAACGGCGGTTGAGAAAGGACTGACTATATTTGCGCCGAACGATGAGGCGTTTAAGGCCGATGGAGTTCCAGATCTGAGTAAACTCACTAATGCTGAAGTTGTTTCGCTTCTTCTTTACCATGCTGTCGCTGACTACACTCCTATCGGAGCCTTGAAGACGACGAAAGATCCGATCGACACTCTGGCTACTAGCCGTGCCGGAAAGTTCGACATTACGACGACTACGGCCGGAGACGCTGTCACTCTCCACACCGGAGTCGGACCTTCGAGAATCGCTGATACAGTTCTCGACGCAACTCCGCTCGCTATTTTCACCGTCGATAGTCTGTTACTTCCATCAGAGTTGTTCGGGAAGTCTCCTTCTCCAGCACCAGCGCCAGAGCCAGTGAGTTCGCCTACACCGACACCGTCTCTGGCTCCGAGTCCAGCCCCTACCGCGAAAGCTCCGTCTCCACTCGCCGCTTCGCCGCCTGCTCCTCCGGCCGACACTCCAGAAGGTTCACCGGCCAATGCACCAACTGCCGAGGCGCAGACCAGTACTCCAGGAAGCTCCGCCGTTCACGTGAAAGCTTCTGTAGTCATTGTCGTTGCCGCCATTGCTACCACTGTGATTTCCTCTCTTTCCTTGTCCTAAATCGTAATTTCCACTCTATCTGCAGTCTTTTATTTTATTTTTGCACTTTTTCTTTTTAATTCGTACTTTTTTTATTTTATATAATTTTATTTTTGAAATTGTTAGTATTCTCTGAATACGCCTTTGTAGTTAGTGAGTGACAGTGCGTGTATGTAGTGGTGGGCCCCGCTGGCTGCTGCTGTTTCCTTTGGAGAATGAGCTGTTAATTTTCTAATTTTTAAAAAAATATTTCAGTTATTTTATTTCTTTTTCATTTTTACCATTTGTTTTTCCGAAAATCGTCTTTTAAAATCACAGCACGTATAACCAAATGACTCCCGTTTGTATTAAGTTGAGATTATTTGTCTTAATTTAATTGGCTTTGTTAACCTAATCTTAATATTTCTAATTTAATTTCTTCCATTGATATTTATGAAATATTTTCTTTTATATTTATGTCTATTTGATTTTAGAGTTTCAAATAGTCGTATGACTCGAGTCTGACTCGACTAATTTAGACATGTATAAATTTTTCAGTTCAACATTTTAATTTAGTAAAAAAAAAAAAAAAATTAAATTGACCTCTAAAATATATGTATAAATTTTGAGGGTAAAATGTGAAATTCACACAAGATAACATGAAACTGTCGGTGTGGGATTGTTGTATTCATTGGAATTCTAAATGCGCCATTAGATGACGTGGGGCCCACTTGGGGGTTTCTAGAAATAAATAAATTAATTAAAAAATATGTTTATTAATCGAAAGCGCGTGCGGATCCTTCCACTGACCGTTTTTCTTATTTATTTATTTTTGCATTTTCTTCTCCGTTTGCGGCGAAAAGATTTGTATTTTAATTAATTAAATGGGGATTTCCTTTTTATTGTCGGTTTAATAAAAATAATATTAAAACAACATATTAATTTTGGGTGGTTTATTACTTAAAATTATTTTAATTAAATATCATTATTATTCTATAATTAATTTTAAGGTTTAAGGAAAGTAGCAGAGAAATCATATAATTCAAACCACGGTTAAGATGATTTTGAAAAGCATAAGAGTATTTTAACCATGGTTAAGATGATTTCCAAACCATAAGATTAAATTAATGATCGTTGGTATGTTTCCAAGGTAAAGAGGGTTTGATGTTGGCATGTGCTTTTGTCTTGGATGATTCACCCATGCTCCCAACCCACAATAATATATTTTTATTTTTTTTTTAAATGTAAATATTCATATTGGATACCGATTGGGTCGGAGAAATCTTTTAGATCAACTCGAAATTTTAAGTTGGATGAGTTGGTGACTCGAGCAACTTGAATAGAGCTCATAATAAAGCCAGCCAAATTATCTATTTTTGGATTGGGTTGGGTTCTCAAATTATTATTTTTAATTATTAAAAATAAATTCTATTTTATTCCCATATTAAATTAATAAATAAAATCTGTAAATTTCAAAGATTCACAGGTCAGGATGCTTCACTAAATCAACTACGATATTCTCCATTATCGTAACAATCTAAAGATTGGGGTATGGTTGAGTTGAATTATAATTCTATTTTTATGTTGGTCGAGTTGACCCGACTAAAAAAGGTTAACTCACGAATCGAATTTTTAATTTTTCAAAAAAAATAATCCAATTAATCTAATCTAATTTCAATCATTTAAATTAAATAGTTTGAATTTGAAAATAAGAGTAAATTTAAATTTGTTATAAAAAATAAGAGTAAAAATCAAAATTTTAAAAGTTTAGAAATATTGAAAGTCGAAAATATATTTTATATAATTTAATTAGAAAAGATAATTGTAATTAATAATTATTATTATTATGATTATTACTTCGTACAATTCTTTAAAAAAAGAAAAAAAAGAAAAAAAAAAAAGAAAAAACTATTCCAACCAATGTTAAAGAGTTTAAAAATGGTTTAACTTAATAATTCATGATTCATGAGGTTTACCTACTAACTTTACGAGTGGCGCAAAATCTTAGAAAAGTTCGTATTGGAATAAATATGATTTTTAAATTTTGTACGATTAATTTTAACACAGTGAGAAGCTATATCAAAAAGGAAAAAAATTGGTACGTTTAGGTCATTATGTATGCATTACGACATACATACACGTGAACATTGCATGTCTACTGCAATTGGGTCATTGTGATTATGAATTGAATGTTTAATTGTCCAAACAGGTACCTGAATTGGTGTCTCACTTTTTCTAAATAATGGAGAAGATGACCAAAACATGTCATTGAAAGACTTTACTGAGACAAAGATGAGCTGTCAAGAACATAGAAGAGGTATGATGGGCAGTTGGTTAGATTTCGTATGGATCGTACATGGACGGTAGTTGGAGTCGACGATTTTTTAGGGTTCCCTGGAGAAGAGAATTAAGTTGGCTCATACGAACAGCTTGATGCACTATCTCCCTTCAACCCTTGATCAATATGTGGAAAAAGGAAGGAAAATCGATGGTCCAATCCCGTATCGTCTCCATCCGTAAGAACTACGAGATCACCCCAAGGTTTCTATTTATTTGTTGGGCCTGATTCTAATAGAAAGATTGGGTAATGCGTTAGGAGCCCAAAACACTGGGCTTCCATATTTTGGCCCATCCCAAACTTATAAAACCTCAAATTTGACTTTTCGAACACAAAAACCGTTAAAATATGGACCAAAAAGTCAACATGTCGAGTGTTCGTTCGGTAAGAGCTTAAGTCCACCACTAGTAGATGTTGTACATTTTTTTCATTACGTATTATCATCAGTCTCACGATTTTTTAAAACGCGTTTGATAGCGAGAAGTTTCCACACTCTTACAAGGAAGTGCTTCATTCCCCTCTCAACCGATATGGGATCCCACAATAAGTTTCGTAGTCAGTGTCACGTAACTTTAAGTTATCAATACGTCTATGTTTTTTCAATATTCTAATAGATTTCTATTCGAATAGTAGTTTTGAAACTTCTATGAAAGGTCGATAATAATATCACTAGTTTCGAAATAGTATAAGTATTTCCTCCGTTGTTAGATGCAACATCGAACCGTGCGGACACTCGAGCATTTAAACAATGTTTAGTTTGCCATAAAGTTTTACTTTCCAACCTAATTCCATTGTTTAGGCCTTTGCACAAGGAATTTGAAACCCTAGCCTTCCATTTCATTTAGAATATAATGTGTCCAAAAGCTACTTTAGAATCCCAACAATTTTATATTAATGTATGATGATTGAGAGTGTAAGGGCTGCCCATCATCATAATGATCCTTACACGACATGGCCCATTTCATTTTTATTTTTATTTTTATAGCTATCGATCCAGTTTTTCGTACACGTATTAGTCGGAATCGTTATTTAAAAACAAAATTATCGACCGCTATTTTCGGAGGAAAACAACACCCGAAACCCTCATTCAATCCAACCCAATATGCCTTAAACCGAAATCAAAACGAGAAATTCTTTGAGGGGAACAATTCACTATTCACAGTTCCAAAAATTAGCAATCTTGTTTGATGGAATCAAATAGCAATAGAGAAGAAGTACTGATTATCCATAACCTTCTAAGCAAGTTTTGTGAAGGAACCTTTGTTGGAAACTGACTCCAAGCAGTCGAGTCTAAGTAGGTTTGACGGTTACCTCACTAAGAAAGTATATAAACGATTAAAACGACCATCGAGCTTTGACCGTCGATGGTTGACTTTTTTCACTATTTCTTTAAGCCAAACAAGATTTATAGAAAAATTATGAATGATGACATGTGGAGTGTACCACACTTTTAAGAAGCTACTTGAATACGAATGCTCACAACACTCTTTCTTACTATCTCGTGCTCATTTACATTCCACACGACTCTTCTTTCAATGATTGTATTATTTAATCTCAATTTCTAAATTCTGATCGATAATTTCTTTTTTCGTATATCTTCTCTCGAGCTTGTAACCCCTCTATCAAACACTAAAATCCATTAGTAATATGTTTATTTTCTCCTTCCAGAACAAGCTATCATATAATTAATTCAAACCGAGAGAGTTATGATTATATAATTTAGTATCTTTAACATCTGCATCGAAAAGAATTCAGGTCATAAGTTAGATCCGGTTGGGTTGAGTAATTTTTAGACTTAACCAATCTAGATTGGGTTGATTCACCCTGATTAACGAGGACATTAAAATCTTAAAAACATATTAATACCTCTCTAATTTTTTTTTTTTTTTTATAAAGATTCAAAAGTATATGATGTTTGTTTATGGTTCGTTTTGGTCTGTCAGGCTCATGATTTTAAAAATGCGTCTATCGAGGAGAGTTTCCACATCCCTGTAAAGAATATTTCGTTCTCTTCATCCGACCCATATGGAATCTCAGAGATAATAGTGGCGGCTAGGTTTCTCAAAAACTAGCTCGGGTTTCTCAAAAGCTGGCTAGGGTTTCTCAAAAGCATTGAAAGAAAGGAGGGGGAAAAAAAACGGCTTTAGAATGAAAAATTTGAGAGTGTGATCCTGTTCTTTACTTTTTGATGGCGCCAATAACAATGGTCTGGTTTGTTTCTTTAACGCATACTGAAAATGAAGAAGCCTCTGGTTTGTTGCCTCGGAAACGAGTTGGTTGCACGTGTGACCCAATCCCCAATGCTCATTTCTCTCTCTCTCTCTCTCTCTCTCCCCATAAACAAAACCCTAATTCTCTCTCTCCTCTCCCGTTTTCAGAGATAAATAAAAACTTTGAAACAACGCAAACTCTGACCTCATTTTCCTTATATAATTCTATTTCCCCTTTCTCCGGCCGCCGCCAACCTCCATCTTTTCCGGTCACTTTTGGATAGTTGGAAGTGAGTCCCATGTTGGCTAATTTAAAGAATGATAAGAGGTTTACCAGTAAAGGAATACGTCTAGCACGAGGCCTCCAGAAACCCAAAACACTTTTGGATTGTTGGGAGTGAGTCCCATGTTCACTAATTTAAGGAATGATAAAGGGTTTACAAGTAAAGGAATACATCTAGCACGAGGCTTCCAGAAACCCAAAACAAATGCGCGAGAGTTTATACTCATAGTGGACAATATCATACCATTGTGAAGATTAGTGATTCCTAACATGGTATCAGAGGGATCAGTAATTCCTAACATGGTATCAAAGTGATAAGTGATTCATATCAGGGTAGTCAGTCATTTCAATAACATATGATTCCTAACGTTTACACTTCCCTGCGAATCACAAGGGATGAAGCATTTTCTGAACTATATGAATCAAATTTATAATTTTTATTCAAATTCGGGAAAC